CTTGCCCCTAATTTACAGAGTTTGCTCTAATATCCTGGTTTTTAACATTGGAATGACAGCATCCCTGGGCAAGCTAAACCCAAAACCTTCTGGGCTCCAAAAACCTGTGGCTGCTAAAATTTTTCCCTCCAAAAATCTGTGGCTGCTAAATCCAAAACCTTCTGGGACTCCAGGCAGCCCTGAGGCTGAGAAAACCCAGGCTGCGCTGTGCATGGCCAAGAATAAGGTGATTCTTGATGAAATCTCCTGATTTAGATATTTTATTCTTGAAGGAGAAGGGAGTGGGGCAGGGCTGTGCATGGTCAAGAATAAGGTGATTCTTGATTAAATCTCCCGATTTAGATATTTTCATCTCCAGAGTGGGGCAGGGCTGTACATGGCCAAGAATAAGGTGATTCTTGATGAAATCTCCTGATTTAGATATTTTATTCTCCAAGAAGAGGAGAGTGGGGCAGGTCTCTGCTCAGCCCCTGCAGGCCCAGCAGCTCCCAGTGGTCAATTTGTCATTCAGTGCAGGATTAAGGGGGATAGCTAAATGTTAAATTGCTGATAACCATCACTCTCCAATGGGCTACAAAATACATGGATTTGATCAAGGATGAACCATGTGTTTCCCTGAAAAGTTATGAAATTATTAAATTTCACTTGAAGCAAGTTAGAAAGTATGCACTTTGACTCCGTACTTGTGATATACACCATGTTGTCAGACAACATGGGAGTTACACAAGCCCCAGCCTCTCCTCACACCTCACATGTGACAGATGACAGCGCTGGGAGAATGTCCTTTAATCACTCCTGTTCTCACTGCCACCATCAGCAATTATGGCATTTGCTTCGGAACCTGCCAGGATTTCAAAACAAGCCCGGGGTGCTCAGGTTGACAAAGCCTCCTGGGCTGCAGCGCAGGATTGCTCAGGGACATTGCTCAGTGCTGAGGGATTGCTGGGGAGTCTCTCATTGCTGAGACCCTGGGACCAGCCCTGTGGGGCCTGACAAGGCTTGTGGAGGCTGACTTGCACAAGGTGTTGCGCCCAGCAGGTGTTTCAGGCACTGGAGGCTCCAAAGCCACACCTGGCGTGGGGTGCTCCTGCCTTTGCTGCTCTTTCTGCTGCCGCTGCTGGATTTTGGTTGCCTGGAGCCTGCTGAGGAAACAGAGAGAGATTTGCAGCTCTGCAGAAGGGAAAGGAGTGGGGATATTGCTCCTGAGGTCTCGGGTTGCTGTTGATATTCGCTGCTTCAAAATGCGTAGGATGCCTTTGCTTCAGCCCGCACAACTGAAGAACGAGTCTGGACTCTTCACTTTTCTGTCTTAAAGTTGTTTATTAATTCTTATCTATAAAATTTTCTTTCTGCCCGGCCGAGATCTGCTCAGTAGGGCAGCCACAGGCACTCTCTGTGTTGTCTTTTTATACTACAAACTACATATAACATATTTACACTTAATTCCTAATACCCATCACCTATGTTGGACAGCACACTTCTACTCTAAACCAATCCCAAAGTGCCAACATCACTGCAGAAAATGGAGATAGAGAAGAAGAAAGAAGAAGGACTAGACATGCCCATATTCCTCCATCTTATCCCCACAATCCCCAGACCAAAAATCCTAAAATCTACATTTTCACCCTGTGATCACTTTATTATTACACCATTCAAACTTCTGTGACTTTCAGGTCCTCATACAAAGCTGGTAATTTGCTCCAGGGGTCAAAATCAAATCCCCAGGTGTTCTGGGCAGCATTCCAGGGTCTCTGAGCTCCCCAACAGGGTTTTTGGCAACTCTGGACACCCAGAGGGATTTTCTGAGTTCTGACACTGAGGGGCTCTGAGGCAGCAGCAGAGGCAAATGCTCCCATTTGGCACATCCAGCATCAGCACTTCTCCTGCTGCTCTTGTTATTTCTTCCTGACCACAATTTGTGAAAAACTTCCAAGCTGTTTTTTTTTTTTTTCCCCAACCAGCACCTACTTAAATAGAACCTTGTTGCTGTAGAATATTACCACAAAATACAGAATATTACACAGGCAGAGGACAGATTGCTGCCCTTTGGAGCCAGGAAGGAGAGGGATTACCTGACTGTTCAGCATTAGCAAAGCTCCCAGCTCACCTGCCTGTGGTTTTATACCTGGAAGCAGGAAATTGCAGCTCTGGATTTGAAGTATTAAAAGCTAAGAAGGAAGGCAGTGGGATGGAGGCTTCCTGGGCATGGACAGAGTGCCGCAGCAGGGCAGAAATGATCCAGAATTCCTGAATTCCCTTCCTGGCTCGCCCTGTGAAGATGGAGCAGAGTCATTTTGTCTCCATGCACCCCAGGGCTGTGACTCACCGCGCTGAGTGGCAATGTGGGATGCCAGCACTCCCACCTCATCCTCCCTGCCCCGCTGCCCCTCTGCCCACAGCCATAAATAAACACACGTGGCCCTGAACCACAGTGCCTGTCATTGGTATCTCTTAAAGAAATCCCTCCTCAGCAGCAGTTTGGGTGGAAATCTCAATCCACAGTGCCACAGGACAGAGCAGGTAGGACCAGCCTCGAGTTAAGCAACTGGATTTTCCCAAACCGTCCCCTTTTCCCAGTTTTTGGCAGCAGCAGCAGCAGAACTGGGATGGTGGAGACTCCACCACTGCCCTGGGCAGCCCATTACAATGCTTTACAATCTTGTTGTGAAGAAAAAGCCTCTGATTTCCAATCTAAACCTCCCCTGGAGCAACTTGAGGCTGTTTGCTCTTGTCTTGTTGATTGTCACCAGATACCAGAGGCTGACCCCCCAATGGTCCCCTCCTGTCAGGAGCTGTGCAGAGCCACAAGGGCCCCCTGAGCCTCCTTTGCTCCAGGCTGAGCCCCTTCCCAGCTCCCTCAGCCTCTCCTGGAGCTCCAGACCCTTCCCCAGCTCTGTTCCCTGCTCTGGACACATTCCAGGTCCTTCTTGTCATGAGGAGCCCAAATTGAGGTGGGGATTTGAGGTGGGACCTCAGCAGGGCCAGCACTGGAGAGGTCTCTATGTTACTCTCACAAGGCCCAGAAGTTTCACCCTGTGCTCCCTGGGCACCCTCCTGTCCCCAGCCCACCCTCAGCATCCTCAGCATCCTCAGCATCCTCAGCATCCTCAGCATCCTCAGCATCCTCAGCATCCTCAGCATCCTCAGCATCCTCAGCATCCTCAGCACCCCAGGCCCTGCTGACCACAGGCAGAGGATGTAAACATCAGCAGGAGTGTGCAGTGAGGACTCAGCAGGAAGCCAAGCTCCCTTTATGACCCAGTTATTGATGAATCAGGGGCGGTGCAGAGCTGTGACACCGTCCCCAGTTATTCACCCACTGCTGGCACAGGATGTAGCAGGGATGCTTGGACACTTTGCTCACCCCAAGAGGTTTTGGGGTGGGAAAACTCATTCTTTTCAAAGATGTTCACACAGAACAGGCGTCACCTATGTGGGATCTTCATCCCAAATCCATCTCTGCCACCTTCCCAGTGGGATGAGCAAAGCACCACTTGTTTCTCACTGAGATTCTGTGACAGTGTTCACAGGGGTCTGAAGATGAGGGAAGAGATGAGGATCTCACTCCATGTTTCAGAAGCTTTGATTTATTATTTTATGATATATATTACTTTAAAACTATACTAAAATAATAGAAAAAAGGATTTCATCAGAAGGCTGGCTAAGAATAGAAAAAGAAAGAATTATAACAAAGGTTTGTGTCTCGGACAGAGAGTCTGAGCCAGCTGACTGTGATTGGCCATTAATTAGAAACAACCACATGAGACCAATCCCAGATGCACCTGTTGCATTCCACAGCAGCAGATAATCATTGTTTACATTTTGTTCCTGAGGCCTCTCACCTTCTCAGGAGGAAAAATCCTAAGGAAAGGATTTTCCATAAATGATGTCTGCGACAAGATTCCCTGAGGAATCCCTTTCAGCCTGGGAGCTCAGTGTGCTGCCTTCAGAGTCCAAATGAATAAAAAACAAATCCATCCCAAATCCTTCACTGTCCAGGGGTGGGAGCAGCTCTGTGGGATCCCCTCGGATCCTCTGCTCCAAGTTTGTCCTAGAAGGACGCTAATCCTGGACTTGGTGACAGGTAACGGAGGCTCCACCATGGTGCAACACCGTGCTAATTACCCTCATTTCCAAAGCCAGGTGGATTTGTGAGGCTTTTGTAAGCCCTGGCACAGCCCAGGGATGCTCTTTTTCACAGGAGAAGCAAAATAAATGGCTGAAATTCCCAAAGAGCTTCTCCCCATGGCAAAGGCTTGATCCCTACTCTTCAGAAAGCAAAGGGACAAGGACAAGAACAGGGACAGGAACAGGGACAGGAGACCTTAGAGCTGGGTCTCACCCTGCCTGTGGTGTCTCCACCAGGAAACAGTGGCCAAATAATAAGTTTCATGTTTAAGAAAACAACATATTTCTGTCAACTGTACACGGAGGGAAAAAAAATATTGTTTTGGGGGGGAAAAGTTTAATTGCTGCCAAATTTCTTGAACGCCTGAATGAGGTTCCAGGAGGAAAATATTTGCAAAGCAGTCACCCAAAGGTGTCCTGTTCAGATAGTTCTTTAACTAAACAACAAAATAAACCTGCTAGAAGAAGTGAGATCTGATAACAACATTCTTTTTGATAATAATAATAATAATAAAACAGCATTTGGGGGAAAAGCGGAGAAGGGGCTTGAATTTAAAGAGGCAGCATTGCCTTGCTCAACACTTTCTGGTGAAAACCTTTGGGCTGGGTTTTCTGCTTGTGCAGGGGAGTTTGTGTGGATGCTGTTGGATGCTGTCGGATGCTGTGTGGATGTTCCCTCCCCTGGGAGAAGCAGGGCCAGGTTTGGGTGCGGCGCCTGCGCAGGGAGCCTGCCCGGGGGCACTGCGATGATTTCAGGCTGCATTTCCACCCCTGCTCCTCCAACCCTTCCAGCTCACGCTTGCCTGCCCTGCCTCCCTGCCCCTGCCCATCTGGGGGCACGGATATAAACCCCTCCAGCCAAAATGTTTCCTGTGGGGACCCAGCTTTGCCTGGAGGGTGCACATGACTCCTGTCCCATCCCAGCTCTTTCCCTAGGCACGGACAGAGGGGATTTTCTGGCGGCTGCTGTTGGTGAGCTCACACCGTGGGCATTCCTCCAGAGCTAGAGAGGCAGGGCAGGTTGCTGCTCCAGCTTTGCTGGAAACCTTGGAGCTCCCAGAGCGTGTGGAAGCAGTGCTGGTCCATCCAGGGATCCCAGGTAAGGCAGGCTGGGAGGAGACACCAGCAGCCAGTGCTGGGCACTCCATCACTGCTTCCATTTTTCTTCTTCTTCTTCTTCTTCTTCTTCTTCTTCTTCTTCTTCTTCTTCTTCTTCTTCTTCTTCTTCTTCTTCTTCTTCTTTTCACCTTCTCCTTCTCCATCCCTTCACCATCTCTCCACTGACATCTCTTCATCCATGACCTGGGATTTGCCATCCTGTCTCTGACTGTTTGTTCACCTTGCATCGCTGTAGAAGCGATGAGGGATGAGGAGAGAGTCCTTGGGGTGTGGAGGAGCACATGGAAACCCAGGAGGGTGAAGATTCAGCCCTCAAACCCTCCAGCCTGGCAACTCTTTGCCTGCTGTGATCCCAGCCAGCCTGGATTGAGGAGAGGCCATGGGTAGAGCAGAGCTCACCCCCGGGTCGGTCGGGCTGGTCGGAGCAGGAGCTGCAGCAGAGCTCGTTTGTGCTGCACTCCTGTGTTCCCTCCCTTTGAACTGCTTGGGAAGGGAGGCAGAGGCAGCTGTGGGAGCCTCACCCTGCTGCACACCCAGGGCACTGCTGGACACGGCGGTGGCTCAGCTCATTCCACTGCAAACGAGGATTTTCTCCTCAACATCATCAACTGATGAGTGGGTTTGAGACAAACCTCCCTTCCCTGCATTAGAGATTTAAAAGTTTTCAAAGAAAAGCTGTTTGCCAGCAGTGTCTCGGGAGCTCAGAGATGCCACTGAGGCAGTGTCACCTGCCTGGTGTCACCCCAAAGCTGCTCACTCTGCAGGGCTGGAGCAGCATGGATGGCTGGGTTAGTCCCACACTGCATCCAGGGACTGAACTGCTCAGCCCCAGGGGATCCCTGTCTCTGTTTTGTACCAAAAATCCAGCTAACATGGGTTTGGTGGTGCTTCCAGATGCCTCTAAGGTTGGCAGCTCTCTTCAATAACAGCTCTAAAGTCACAAAGATCTGAAAAAAAAAAATATAGCAAATAGGAAACTTGTGATCAAAATAATGAAAAGTGCTTTTTTAAATTGATGAAAGTGCTGAGAAACCATGAGGACAGGAAAGTTTTTAACATGGGGGTGTCACTATAGGACACAAATAACACAAGCACACACTGCTGTTCTTAAGGTGAAGGAAAAGGGAAGTTTATTTTTTTATTTTAGCGTTTATAGTTTTTTATAAGTGACAGTGGATTGGAGGGTGACAGTGCCACCTCTCCAAAGACACTGGTCGAACTAACAATCTATCAACTTTCTCTTCTTCTATAAAGGAGTGCAAAACAATGAGTTAGTTACAGAAAGTGTGTGAGAAAGTTCACTACAAGAATGTTAAGGTTTAGAAAATCACCAGGGTGACATGGGGGAATAAAACAGGCAGAAGGTTAGATTTTGTTTGTTTGGAATCCCATTTTGAAGCTGCAGCGCTGCCAGTTGAGAACCTGCTGCAGGTGTCAAACTCCAACCCCTCTCACGTTAAACCAGTGGTGGACTTTGCCTGGGAGTGCACCCCAATTGAGAGCAAAGAGGCGCCTCCCAGTGCTCCCAGTGCTCCCAGTGCTCCCAGTGCCCCAGCACTGCAGCGATGCCCGGGCTCTGTGCTGGAGCTCCAGACCTGAGCTCCCTCGAGCAGAGTTCCAGCCCTTGGGAAGATGCTGAGGAATGACATTGGAGAACAGAGCCAATGAGCACCAGCCCTGCAGGGCTGTCCACTCCCCAGAGGTAACTCTCAGAGCACAGGGAAGTCTTCCTGGCAGGAAGGTCTGAGTCACAAAGAAAGTGAGGAGAAGGGAGAAGATGAGGTGACCAGCGCTGGGCTGAAATGGGGAAGAGTCCCGTGGCAGCAGCAGCACCTGATGAGAGATGTTAATGCCATGGATTGGTGACCATCCTCAGAGCCCAAGAGCATTTTCTGGGGCAGTTTGCAACTCCTGCAAATCGAGGGGAGAGAGGAACTCTTGGGCAGTAGGATGTGTGTTGGGAATGATGAGCCCTTGGTAGGTGGGTAAGGCGCTGTGCTGGTGCCACACGAGTGAGGAGCAGGGTCCCCTTTGTGTGTGCAGCCCTGTGCTCCCCCGTGCCCAGCACTGACCTGCTGCTCTCCTTTCCCCCAGGGTGCTGAGGATGCCGAGCATTTTCTCCTACCAGAGTGCCGAGGTGGATTGGTGTGAGAGCAACTTCGTGCGCTCGGCGGTGATCGCCGAGTACTACAACACCGTGAGTGCCTCGGGGACATTGGGGTTCCAGGCACCCAGGAGCTGCTTTTGGGACCCCCACAGCATGGCACATCCCTGCTTTCTGTCCTCCTCCTCGCTCCTTTGAGCTTCCTGGTGCTGGAGGGTTCTGGTGTGTGGGGAACATTTTCTGAGCTTCAGGTAAATCAGGGGATTTTTGCTGTTTGCAATGGTTGTTCCCCAAAACGTGCTGGGGTCAGGGGCATTTCAGTGCTGTATGTGTGTGTGGGGTTGATTCCCAGTGAGAAAACTCTGGCAGGGCTCCCTCACAGCCCAGATCTGTGAGATCCTGTTATACCAGTCCTGCAGCTCCGCTGCCAGCCGGGCTAAGCCCCACACAGGGCTCACATATCCCGGCTAAACGAGAGTGGCAAAACGAGAGGCAGCGCTGCCATGAACCGTGTCAGGCGCGCTGGGAACACGGAACTGGGCTCAGGGCATGAGCCAGTTTCACCTCCTGTGATCCTTTATCACCCAGGCTGCCTCCAGTGCCAGTGCTTTGGCTGGAGCATCCATATCAGCCTGCACAGGGCTGGAGATAAGCAGCCTCTCCAAGCATGTCCTGCTCCCTCACAGCAATTAAAGGCTGCCAGGGGTGTGAGGCATGTGGATTTACAGCCTTCCACAGGCCTTGTTTACAGCTTTTGGCTATTGCTGCCTAACACTAGAAGATCTTGTTCTCATGGAAATGGCTCTTCCTCTTTTTTTTTTTTTTTCAAAGCATTTCCTGTTTTTAATAAATTACCTGTAATGACAATAATTGCCCAGCCTGAGTCCTGCAGGCTCCAGGGTCTCAGAGGAGGGGGCTGTGTGTGCTCACTGCTCTTTGGGGCACTCAGCAAAGAAAGATCTGCCAGTCCAGAGGAAACCCTGCTTCCCTGTGGCACCCAGATGGGTGTTCTGTGCTGTTTGCTGCTGCATGGGCTCAGAGCTGCAGAGCAGGGAAATGAGCAAGGAGATGCAGAAATCACTCAACACTTGCATCAGCATCTCAGATTTCAGGGCTTGGAGCGACCTGTGTGAGTGGAACATGTCCCTGCCCATGGCAAGGGGTGGAGGGGATGATCTTTAACATCCTTTCCAACCCAAACCATTCCAAATGCAGCTGGAAGTGCCCAAAGCCTCTGGGTTTGAGTGGCTGCTAACGCTGCAGAGGGGCTGACTGCCTGAAAGTGAAGGGTTTGGTTTTGGTGTGAATTCCTTCCTTCCAGGAGGCAAATTTGCCTCATATCCTAGTTTGAGACATAAGGCAGCATTTTTTAAACAGGAGCTGAGATACCATTGACACCAGGCTTATAAAGTAGCTCAGAGCTCTTATCACACCAACAGCTATCTCAGTGCAGAGCAGGGAAATGAGCAAGGAGATGCAGAAATCACTCAACACTCACATCAGCACCTCAGATTTCAGGGCTTGGAGCGACCTGTGTGAGTGGAACACGTCCCTGCCCATGGCAAGGGGTGGAGGGGATGATCTTTAAGGTTCCTGCCAAACCAAACCATTGTAAATTCAGCTGCAAGTGCCCAAAGCCTCTGGGTTTGAGTGGCTGCTAACACTGCAGAGGGGCTGATTGCCTGAAAGTGAAGGGTTTGATTTTGGTGTGAATTCCTTCCTTCCAGGAGGTAAATTTGCCTCATGTCCTAATTTTATACACAAGGCAGCATTTTTTAAACAGGAGCTGAGATACCATTGACACCAGGCTTATAAAGTAGCTCAGAGCTCTTATCACACCAACAGCTATCTCAGGAGCTCTTCAAAAGCACTTCAGTGCCTGACTCCTCTGCTGGACACCAGCTGGTGTAGCCAGATGCATGACTAATCCTTGTAGGCCCTGTAATTCCCATAAAACATTAACTCTCAGCTGCCTGGCTCATTCTGTGGCACAGGTTTCTAAATTCTGAACATCTCACCCGGGTTCCCAGTCCTGGAGGAGCCACAGCCACGTCCCAGGTTCCCATTCCACACCCCTGGGATGAATTCTCACTGTGTGGGGCTCAGGAACAATGAGGAAAAGCTCTCATTGCATGTCTCAATGCAGATAAAAAGGAATGTGATACTGAGGGAGAGAGAGAACTTGAAATTTTGCAACTCAGAGATGCAAGAGCATCAGTGAAGAAACAGGTAAAAAAAAAAAAAAAGCGAAGATCTAATGAATTTAACTTCCAACCTGATGAAAAAAAAAAGTTTAGTGATGTTTGTGTGATGAAGTAGCCCAACAGAAATCGGTCTGATTTCAATACCAAGGCAAATATTGACATACAATTAAGAAAAAAACGAGGATCTCTCAATGCTGAATTCCCAGGCAGAATCCATATAATTGTATGTTGCAAGAGGGCAATGTCTATATTTGTATAACATAGGGAGGGATATGGACAAGCAAACCCTGCAGGATTTTTTCCCAGCAGTTGAATTTGCCCTTTTCTCCTCTGTGTGACACTGGGCACCTCTTCCTCAGCACAGAAAGAGCTTTTCATGGTCCCTGCACTGCTGAACTTTCTGCCAGGCTCAGGAGATCAGCAGAGTGCCAGGGCAGGAAGGGAGGGAAACAATTCTGTGTTAGGATGTGATTCCTGAGGAATCCAACCCTGCCACGGCAGCCTCGGGCTGGCTGGGGACCCCTGCCCACACAAGGGGTGGCAGAGCAGCAAATCCTCCTGAAATCTGCCCTTATCTGAGCATTGACAGCAGCCCCAACGCTGTGCTGTGCTCAGGGCCAGGCCTTGTCACCAAAATTGGGCAGGAACATCACTGAGATGGGCATCAGCCCTTCCTGAAAACACAGACTGGCTGGCACCGAATGGGTCCCTTCTTCAGCCTGGTTGGCACTGCCTGGGTCCCTCTTTCAACCAGCAAAGCCTGTTTGGCACTGCCTGAGACCCTTCCTCATCCTGCACAGCCTGTTTGGCACTACCGGGGTCCCTTCCTCACCCAGCACAACCTGTTTGGCACTGCCTACATCCCATCCTTGGCTGGCACTGAATGGGTCCCTCCTTCACCCAGAACAGCCTGTTTGGCACTGACTACGTCCCGTCCTTGGCTGGCACTGCCTGGGACCCTTCCTTAGCCTGGCTGGCACTGCCTGGGTCCCTCTTTCAACCAGCACAATCTGTTTGGCACTGCCTGGGACCCTCCTTCAGCCTGTTTGGGACTGCCAGGGTCCCTTCCATGGCTGTCACTGTCTGGCTCCCTTCTTCAGCCTGGCTGGCACTGCCTGAGTCCCATCCTTGCCTGGCACTGCCTGGGTCCCTCCTTCAGCCTGTTTGGCACTGCCTGGGTCCCTCTTTAAGCCAGCACAGCCTGTTTGGCACTGCCTGGGACCCTTCTTCACCCAGCACAACCTGTTTGGCACTGCCTGGGTCCCTCTTTAAGCCAGCACAGCCTGTTTGGCACTGCCTACATCCCATCCTTGGCTGGCACCGAATGGGTCCCTCTTTCACCCAGCACAACCTGTTTGGCACTGCTTACATCCCATCCTTGGCTGGCACTGCCTGGGACCCTCCTTCAGCCTGTTTGGGACTGCCAGGGTCCCTTCCTTGGCTGGCACCGTCTGGCTCCCTTCTTCAGCCTGGCTGGCACTGCCCGCGTCCCTTCCTCATCCAGCACAACCTGTTTGGCACTGCCTACATCCAAACTTTGGCTGGCACTGTCTGGGTCCCTCTTTCAACCAGCACAGCCTGTTTGGCACTGCCTGGGACCCTCCTGCAGCCTGGCTGGCACTGCCTGGGTCCCTCTTTCAAACAGCACTGCCTACATCCCATCCTTGGCTGGCACTGCCTGGGTCTCACCCCTGCAGCAGCAGCAGCAGCACAGGGACCCCCATTCCTGCTCTGGGTTCTCCCCCAAGGATCAGGCTCCTTGTGATGTGCCCTAAAGAATCATAGAATTCTAGATGATAGAAAGGGTTATAGAGCTCTGGCCAGGCAGAGATCTCTGGCTATCTCTGCTGGCTGCATCCTGCAGGTCCAGCTGGGACTCAGGGCACTGTGATCATGTTCACAGGGGTTCTTGGATGAGGGAAGAGATGAGGATCTGACTCCATGTTTCAGAAGGCTTGATTTATTATTTTATGATATATAGTTCATTAAAACTACACTAAAAGAATAGAAGAAAGGATTTCATCAGAAGGCCAGCTTAGAATAGAATGGCAAAGAATGATAACAAAGGTTTGTGGCTTGGCTCTCTGTCCAAGCCAGCTGACTGTGATTGGCCATTAATTAGAAACAACCACATGAGACCAATCACAGATGCACCTGTTGCATTCCACAGCAGCAGATAATCATTGTTTACATTTTGTTCCTGAGGCCTTTCAGCTTCTCAGGAGGTAAAAAATCCTAAGGAAAGGATTTTTCATAAAAGATATCTGTGACAGGACACCATCCCAGCTGTGATCCTCCCAGCCTGCATCTTCCCTCCTTCTCCCCCATTCATTCGTTCCCCACATTCAGGTTGCTGCAATTGTTACTGCCTTGAATTAATTATACCAATATTTACCTCATTTTTCTGGAGTTTTAGGCCAGCTGGGAACCCAGCCAAGCCTCAGTAAATCAGCAGGCTTTCCTCACAGAGCATCCTCTTCAATGTCTTCCTCCCAGCCCTGCCTGGGGCTGGAGCAGAGCTGCTCTGTGCCAAATGTGCTGCTGGGGATTGCTCTGTGCCAGCCACACTCTCTCAGGCCTGCTTGCCTTGGATGCTTTTATTGGAAACAAGCACCAGGGGTATGAGAAAAGAATGTACACAGCACCTTGAGGTAGCTAATAACACATGGTGGCTCATGGCTGGATGCAGTTCAGCAGCAAAGCTGCATTTACAGTGACTCAGCCACCCAGACATTTATTGTCTTCTGGCTCAAACCAGCAGCTCCTGCTCCAAACCCCATCAGAGGCTGATCTCACCTGTCCCAGGTGAAGGTTCTGTCCCTCTGTCTCAGACTGGAATCCTTCCCTGAATGAACGCTTGAATCCTTCCCTGCCAGGAATCTCCTTCCGTTGCAGAAAGTGCCTGGCTGGAGCACCCATTCTGTGCATTCTGTGAATTCTGTGAGTTCTGTGAATTCTGTGAGTTCTGTGAATTCATTCTGTGAATTCTGTGGATTCTGTGATTCAGTGAGTTCTGTGAATTCTGTGAATTCTGTGAATTCTGTGAATTCATTATGTGGATTCTGTGAGTTTTGTGAATTCTGTAAATTCTGTGAATTCTGTGATTCTGTGGATTCTCTGAATTCTGTGAGTGAGGAGCAGCCCCTGCTGCTGTGCTCAAACCAGCCCCTCCTGCCTCAATCCCCATCAGAGGCTGATCTCACCTGTCCCAGGTGCAGGTTCTGTCCCTCTGTCTCAGGTTGGAGCTGCAGAATTTGGGCTCTTCCCAATGATCCTGTTCATGCTCCAGAATTTGAGCTGTGCTGCTGATCCCAGCTTCTCTTCTCTCCTCTTGGGTTTTTGGTTTTTAATTGCTGCCCCAAGATGTGCAGGATGTTTCTGTCTCAGCCCATGCAACCGAAGAACGAGTCTGGACTCTTCACTTTCCAGTCTTGAGATTGTTCATTAATTCTTATCTATAAAATTTTACTTTCTGCCCAGCCGAGGTCTGCTCAACAGGGCAGCCACAGGCACTCTCTGTGTTGTCTTTTTATACCACAAACTGTGTATAACATATTTACACTTAATTCCCAATACCTATCACCTATGTTAGACAGTGCACTTCTGTTCTAAGCCAATCCCAAAGTGCCAACACCACTGCAGAAAATGGAGAACAAGAAGAAGAAGAAGAAGAAAGGCTGGATATGCCCAAGTTCCTCCATCTTGTCCCCATAACCCCCACACCAAAAATCCTAAAATCAACATTTTCACCCAGTGATCATTTTATTATTATACTATTTAAACTTCTGTGACCTTCAGGTCCTCATACAAAGCTGTATGAGATCCAAATCAAATCCCCAGGTGCTCTGGGCTGCGTGCCAGGGTCTCTGAGCCCCCTGACGGGGTTCTGGGCAACTCTGGACAATCAGAGGGATGCACTGAGTTCTGACACTCTCCTAGGAAAAGAAGTAAATAGTTGGGCTCAGCTGAGGCAGCTGGAGCAATAATTCACATTTACTGGGGAGTGGGAGCTCAGGCAGGGGGTCTCTCACATGTGCTATCACACCAAAACCACTCCCTTATCTCCTCGGGCAGGGGAAGCGGGGAAGCTGAAATACAATCTGTGCTAGGGGGTCCCAGCCTGAGCAGAAACTGCAGAAAAACTTCCAATGTCTGTCCTGGGAGCAAAACCCTCCCAACCACATCTGAGACAGAGCTTGCCACATCCCAGAGGGAAGACAGAAAGTCAGCATTTACAAATCGAAGTGATGAAAACCCCGCATCCCCCACGGGGGTGGGAGCTGTTCCCCAAACTCGGAATCCCGTTTATCTCCCTGACCCTATTGGCACGGTTCCCCCGGCTCTCCCTCCCTTCTGCTATCTGATCTTGCACATCTCGTCCCGAGTTAATGAAGTGATAACGCAGCTATCATGTAATTAATGGCGCTGTTGCAATGCCCGCTGCTCGGGGATGCGGGGCTCTCCTCTCCCTTCAGTTTCCTCACTGAATTCGTGCTGGCACTTGCACTCTCCTGCCTTTCCCCCAAAGCGTTTTCCCTCTCCTTGCCTTCCCAAAAGCCTCCTTAATCATTTCAAGGGAAAAGAAATGTTTGAAGCGCGGCTGTTGTTTGATTTCTCGGTCGTTTCTGAACAATTTGACCTCGAGGGTGCAAGTGGGAGCAGCGCTTCTCATTTCATGGCCAGGATTTGGCTCTAAGCACCTATGGAAAACAAATCCAAAACAAATCCATTCAGCCCCGAGAGCTGCTGCTAATGGGAGCATCAACTTGTCTCGTGGAAGCCTTAGTGAAAATCAAGATGAATCTGCGGTGTTTAAGGGAATAGAGACCTCGCATTAGGCATGAATTGTGTTTCCCTGTGGAATAGGAGAGGGTGTGTTCCAGAGAAATGACAGCATCCCGGTGATTTGCAGCCCTGTTAGCATAAACTGGGGTCCCAGGGGATCCCTGGGATGATTTTGCAATTTACCTGGTGCTGCTGAGGGGGGAGAATCCAGCTGTGGATGCCAAATTCCAGGGGTGGGGTCTGGGTCAGCGCGGAGCTGGAAGATGAAAGAAGAAGGATTGTGAGGCTGAGATAAAAGTCACGCTGGTGCTTTGCCAAATGGCACTTGAGCAGATGGCTCCGGAGCCCCAGAGAGCTGTCTGGCAGGTAAATGCAGCACCACAATCCCAACCTTTCATAAGCAACAACCATTTTCACTGGGTAGGCCGTGCTTCCCACTGATATCCCTTCCCCGAGCTTGCAAAGTCAGGTGGAAAAGGCAAGGTAAGAACCCACAGAGAGTAATTAAATTAGCTCAGATTTCCCTGCCCTGTGCTGCAGGGTGGAGCAGCCCTGGCCCAGCAGACAGGTCCGGGCTTTGGGCACTCACTGCTCCTCCCCAGCTCCCACATTTTGCCCATCAGCATCTCCTCTCTGCAAAGCACTGGCACCTTCAGCCAGTCCAGCAAGAGAATGAGCCCCAGAACCATCCTATCCTCCCCAGCACCATCCTCTTTTCCTCAGGGCCATTCCCTCTATCCCAGCACCATCTCCTTTTCCTCAGCTCCATCTCCTCCTCTCCAGCACCATCCCCTCTTCCCCAGCACCATCCCATTTTCCCCAGCACCATTCCCCCTTCCCCAGCTCCACCTCCTCCTCTACAACACCATCTCCTCCCCAGCACCATCCCCTCCTCCCCAGCACCATTCTCTTTTCCTCAGGACCATTCCCTCCATCCCAGTACCATCCCCTCCTCCTCCTCAGCACCATCCCCTCTTCCTCATCACCAGCCCCTCTTCCTCAGCACCATCCCCTCTTCCTCAGCACCATTCCCTCCTCTCCAGCACCATCTCCTCCTCCCCAGCACCCTCTCCTCTTCTTCATCACCTTCCCTTCTTCTCAGCACCATCCCCTCTTCCCCATCACCATCCTCTCCTCCCCAGCACCATTGTCTTCCTCATCACCATCCTCTTCCCCAGCACCATCCCCTCCTCTCCAGCACCATCCCCTCCTCCCCAGCACCATCCCCTCTTCCTCAGCCCCATCCCCTCCTCCCCAGACTAATCAAAGTCAGACAAATAAGGAATTTTGCAGAGTTGGAAACCAGAGCAGGATAATTCCTCTGTGTTCATTTGCCAGGCGTATTTAGGGGAGGTTGATGACCTCATGTAATTAGCAGTGTCCAGAACACCTCTCCTCCCCAGGCCAGGTGGCTTCACACCTGACACCACAGGATGTCACCTCAGCGCTGCCTGTCCCCACCTCCTGCTGTCCTGCTCATCCTGCTGCTCCCCACCACACCCACTCCCGGGTCAGGATGTTTTGCTGACCGTGCTTTGCTGTGCTGGCTGAGCTCCTCACACCCTCCCAACCCCTCACAGGGTGGCTGGAAGGGTCAGGAGCCATCCAGGCAGCTCCTGGAGGGTCTGGGTTGGCATGAGAGGGAGATGGATGCAAACTGAGGAGTTGTTGGAGACAGCAGGCAGCTGAAGATAAACCAGCATCACCCAAAAGGGACACAGCAGCTCAGAGGGAGGGCAGAGGTGTCTGCAGACACTGCTGGCCGCCACAGCAAGAGCTGCCCTTCCAGTTCCAGCCTGGCTTCTGCAGAAACACCTCTGCCCTCTCCCTGTGCCAAGAACAACCCCTGCTTCCTGCTGGAGATCAGGAGATGCTGAGCCACCTGGTGGGATGGGGCTTGCACAGGAGCGTCGCAGACATCTTTTTATGGAAAATCCTTTCCTTGGGATTTTTCCTCCTGAGAAGCTGGGAGGCCTCAGGAACAAAATGTAAACATTGATTATCTGCTGCTGTGGAATGCAACAAGTGCATCTGTGATTGGTCTCATGTGATTGTTTCTAATTAATGGCCAATCACAGCACAGTTGGCTCAGAGAAAGAGTCCGAGACAGCTGCCTTTGTTATCATTCTATTCTATTCTATTCTATTCTATTCTATTCTATTCTATTCTATTCTATTCTATTCTATTCTATTCTTAGCTAGCCTTCCGATGAAACCTTTTCTTCTATTCTTTTAGTATAGTTTTAATGTAATACATATCATAAAATAATAAATCAAGCCTTCTGAGATATGGAGTCAGATCCTTGTCTCTTCCCTCAACATAAACCCCCCGTGAACACGGTCACACAGGAGCTGAGTGTGCCTCTTGTTTTTCAGATCAGCAATGTGAGCTTCTTTCTGCTGTCCCCTGCGCTGCTGTACCTGAACAGGCAGTACTGCCAGAAGAAGGCTGTGCCCCTCTACTTTGTCTCAGGGCTGCTCATCCTCGTAGGTGGGTGCCAGCACTGTGGGAAAAACAGACAAGTCACCAAACTACCCAACATGAGACCTTTGGAGGGTCTCAGTGGCCAAAGCATAAAGAAAAATCACACAGGTTGCCAGAATAACCAACATGAGGTCTTTGGAAGGTTTCAGTGGCCAAATCACAGGGAAAACTTGGGTGGGCAACCAAGCAGCCAGGTGAGTTTGAAGCCTGCAGCCCATGGTTGCTGCCAGGTGTGGATGTGCAGCTTCCAGCCCTGTGATCCACGTGGTGTGACTGGGCTGACTCAGTCCGACCCACCTTGAACAGCAAAATCCACACCCTGCTCTTCAGGAATGGTGGATCTTGAGGAATGGTGGATCTTGAGGAATCTTGAGGAATGGTGGATCTTTGGGAATGGTGGGTCTTTAGGAATGGTGGATCCTCAGGAATGGTGGATCTTTGGGAATGGTGGATCTGTAGGAATGGTGGGTCTTCCGGAATGGTGGATCTCTGGGAATGGTGGGTCTTGAGGATCTTGAGGAATCTTCAGGAATGGTGGGTCTTTGGGAATGGTGGGTCTTTGGGAATGGATCTTGAGGAATGGTGGGTCTTGAGGAATCGTGAATCTTTGGGAATGGTGGATCTGTAGGAATGGATCTTTAGGAATGGTGGGTCCTCAGGAATGGTAGATCTTGAGGCATGGTGGATCTTGAGGAATGGTGGATCTTTGGGAATGGTGGATCTGTAGGAATGGTGAGTCTTCAGGAATGGTGGGTCTTTGGGAATGATGGGTCTTCAGGAATGGATTTTGAGGAATGGTGGGCCTTCAGGAATGGTGGATCTTCAGGAATGGCGGGTCTTCAGGAACAGCCCCCAAGAACCTCCCAGGGCTGGTGGGAGGATGGAGCTTTGTCATCTCAAGGTGCCCTTGCTCCTTGCAGGTCTCTTCTCCATGTACTTCCACATGACCCTGAGCTACGTGGGACAGCTCCTGGATGAGCTCTCCATCCTCTGGACGCTGGCTGTGGCTTATTCCTTCTGGTACCCTCAGGCTTACTTCCCCAAGTGCATCAAGACCAGGTATGACCAGAGGGACACGGTCAGGCTCTGAGGGAGGGATGGGACACTGACACTGGGGTGTAGTGACCCACAGATCCCCCAGTTCCCCTGCAAGGGGTCAGCTCTGAGGTCCCTGAAGTGCTTTAGGATCAGGTCCTCCTGACAGAGGAAAAGTCAAAATTCTCCTCTCAGCTGGAGCTGTTTGTGTTTGTCTAGCTGCAGGGGAAAACTTTGCATGGAGAATTTCAAAATTAATTAGGAAATGAAACCTTCCTGAATATTAGCATTCAATTACTCGTGCTGTCAATCTGTTCCAGCATCCTCTGTCTTCCACAGAGAGCTTTCTCTCAAGGCTGAGGGGGTCTCCCATGGGACAGGATGGTCACAGCCCTCATTTCAAGGAGGAGCCCAGCAGAAAGGATGGGGCCACTGGGAGGGCATGGACCAGCATGTGATGGTGTTCACAGGGGTTCTTGGATGAGGGAAGAGACGAGGATCTGACTCCATGTTTCAGAAGGCTTGATTTATTATTTTATGATATATATTTCATTAAAACTACACTAAAAGAATAGAAGAAAGGATTTCATCAGAAGGCCAGCTTAGAATAGAATAGCAAAGAATGATAACAAAGGTTTGTAGCTCGGACAGAGAGTCCAAGCCAGCTGACTGTGATTGGCCATTAATTAGAAACAACCACATGAGCCAATCACAGATGCACCTGTTGCATTCCACAGCAGCAGATAATCATTGCTTACATTTTGTTCCTGAGGCCTCCCAGCTTCTCAGGAGGAAAAATTCCAAGGAAAGGATTTTCCATAAAGGATGTGTGTGACACCAGCAGGAACGGGAACCCAGCAGGGCTTTGCTCAGAGGATGCTCCCTCCTGGCTGGAGCCCCCTGAGCCAGCCCAGCTCCTTGCACAGACCTGCTCCAATCTTCCCATGGCGAACAGGAGGTCACCAGGAGTTCACCGAGGAGACCCAGCTGGGGGAGAGCAGGGACTTGGGAAGGGATTTGCATGTGAAAGGCCCCTCTGAGCCCTATTGTTGCTCGGGGAGCCCAGAGCGGTGTTTGCACAGCCCTTCCCTGTGCAGAGCTCCCTGCCTGTGCCTCATGCCTGTGCCTCACCCCTGGCACACCAGCAGAGTGCAGGAGCAGCCCCTGGGTCTGTCAAACACTCACTGGGGGCTGCTACCTCACCCTCCCTGCAGGACCCCAAAAACACTGAGATCAGCCACATGCAGACAGAAGGGAGATGCTGGAGGAGCTTTGCCCCTCTCAGGACCTTTCCCATCCTTACTGTCCCCTACACTGACACTCTGTCCCCATTCCCCTCAGGAGACATTTCTTCTGGCTGACTGGAATCACCACCGTGATCAGCACCCTGATGTCCTTTGTCAAGCCCACCCTCAACGCCTACGCGCTCAACTGCATCGCCTTCCACCTGCTCTACCTGACCTGGAAGGAGCTCAAGAAGTAAGGAGGGGGCTCAGGGGGTACCTGCAGCTCCAGCTGTGCTCCTGCTGGGCAGTGACTCTGTCCTCAACAGGGAATTGAGCCCAAGTCTCCACCAGCCACGTGCGCTTGGGAGGAAGCAGGCAGAGGCCAAGTGGGCAGTGGGCTACAGGAAGGGCACCTGGCACAGGTGGCAGAATGGGGACAACCCATGGGACAGTGGTGCAATCATTATCTCTGGAAGGTTTCAAAAACCCATGGGACAGTGGTGGAATCATCACCCTTGGAAAGCTTCAAAAACCTATGGGACAGTGGTGGAATCATCACCCTTGGAAGGCTTCAAAAACCTATGGGACAGTGGTGGAATCATCACCCTTGGAAAGCTTCAAAAACCTATGGGACAGTGGTGGAATCATCACCACTGGAAGTTTTCAAACACCCATGGGACAGTGGTGGAATCATCACCACTGGAAGGTTTCAAAAACCCATGGGACAGTGGTGGAATCATCATCCCTGGAAGGTTTCAAAAATGCCCTGTGAAGTTTTCAAAAATGCCCTGTGGATGCGGCATTTGAAAACAGGGTTTGTGCTGAATGTGGTGGTGGTGCTGGTTTAAGAGCTGGCCATGATGATCTTAGAGGTATTTTCTAATATTTACAGTTCTATGAGTCCGTGATTTCTCCCCACTGGGAGTTTTTAAAAACCCATGGGACAGTGGTGGAATTATCACCCCTGAAAGTTTTTGAAAACCCATGGGACAGTGGTGGAGTCGTCACCCCTGGAAGGTTTCAAACACAGGGCATTTTTGAAAACATCCCTGGAAGTTTTCAAAAATGCCCTGTGAAGTTTCCAAAAATGCCCTGTGGAAGTGGCATTTGAGAACAGGGTTTGTGCTGAACCTGCTGGTGGTGCTGGGTTAAGAGCTGGCCATGATGACCTTAGAGGTCTTTTCTAACATTTACAGTTCTATGAGTCCATGATTCTCCCCCCTGGCTGCCATCTCTGCAGCTCCTTCCCCTTTGTGGGGCATTTGGAAGAACCCACCAGGGTGTGGAGAGAAAGACAGGAGTGCTTTGGCATCTCCCAGCATCATCCTCACCCCCAGAAAGTCAGAAATCCTCTCCCCAGAGCCACACTTCCCCAGCTCCTGTGGGATACTCTCCAGAAGGAGCTTGCTGGGGTTTGCACTGCTGCATGTGCAGGCAGGAACCAGCCCTGTTTACAGCTCCCTTTCCTCCCAACGTGATTTCTGTGCTCCCTGTCCCTCTCTGTGTCCTGCAGGTGCAATGACAAGCGTGTTCACCGGATGGCCGCGGTCATGGTGATGTGGTGGGCCCTGGCCATCACCAGCTGGATCAGTGACCGCTGGCTCTGCTGGCTCTGGCAGGCCATCAACTTCCCCTACTTCCACAGCTTCTGGTAAGGAATCCAGGAACCCCAGCCCTGAAAGGCCCACAGCAGAGAAATAGAAAAATTATTTCCCCACCCGCTCCCCCTTTCCTGTCACTATGGCTGTTCCTCCTCACCCAGCCCAAGGATTCACTGTTTAATGTCCCTCTCCTCCTCCACACCACCCAAGCAGTGTTTTGCAAGTGAAATGGTTCCAGAAATCCCTCCAGGTGAGCTCTCAAAGGGCTGTGGCTGCTCCCAAGTTGCTGTGTGAAGTACATTGCTCTAGAGGTTCTTTCAGCAGCCAAACTGAAAGGCAGAGCTTTGTTTGGACCTGACATTTCAGTGCCTGCCCAGGTGGGGCTGCAAGTGCTGCACACTCAGATCCATCCCCACAAAGCAGCACTGGGATGGCTGGGACAGACAAGCCAGGAAATGAGGAATGGTTGGAATGAGTCCCCTCTGCCACCCCAGAAATGGGGAATGCTGCACCAGGAAATGGGGAATGTTGGAATGAGTCCCTTATGCCACAACAGCCCCACTGCACCAAGAAATGAGGAATGGTTGGAATGAGTCCCTGCTGCACCAGGAATTGATCCCAGCTCACAGAGCTCTGCCAGAATCTCCCTTTAGGCACAAACCCTGCAGGACACACACTCCCTGCAGACAATGCAGCCAGGAAATGGGGAATGGTTGGAATGAGTCCCCTCTGCCACCCCAGAAATGGGAAATGCTGCACCAGGAAATGGGGAATGTTGGAATGAGTCCCTTATGCCACCCCAGCCCTGCTGCACCCGGAATTGTGCCCATCCCAGCTCACACAGAGCTCTGCCAGGATCTCCCTCTAGGCAAGTGCTGCACACTCAGATCTATCCCCACAAAGCACTGGGGTGGTTGGGACAGACAAGTCAGGAAATAGGGAATGGTTGGAATGAGTCCCCTCTGCCACCCCAGCCCCACTGCACCAGGAATTTTCCCCATCCCAGCTCACAGAGCTCAGCCAGAATCTCCCTTTAGGCACAAACCCTGCAGGACCCACACTCCCTGCAGCCCTCCTGGGACCTTTGGGGGCTGCAGCCTCAGGGTGACCATGCCATGACCCTCTGTCCAACCCACAATTTTGGTTTCCTTGGCAGGCACGTGCTGATAGCCCTGTCCCTGCTGTACTGCTGCCCTCTGGTCATCTACTTCGACGTCAGCTACGAGATGCCCTCGTTCAAGCCGAAGCTGGAATACTGGCCCAGCGACTCGTGGCCTGTTGTGGTGCCCTATGTCACCCTGGAGGAGCCCCACAAGCAGTGCTAGAGCTCTGGGGTGCCCTCAGGCCTCCCTGGGCACAGGCTGTGTGTGATGCTCACACTCGGTTGTGCTCCTCCTGCTCCTCAGGCAGTGCAAGGGGCAGGGAGCAGCTGAGGCCTCGTGGTGCTGGGCATGAAGCAAGGAGGGAGCCCACAGGTGCCTCAGGAGGCTCTGCCCAGACTGGTGTTCAGGGAGCTGGAGGTTTCCTCCAGCAGCTCCCCATGAGTGGGGAGGGACATGGTGCTGCTTCTGTGTCCTCTGTGTTAGTGCAGCACCAGCAGCCCTTGCTGACAAGGGCACAGCGCACAACACTGAAGCCAAACTGGTGACAGCTGGGTTTGCTGGGGCTGCTCTAATTATTATTATTACCTCTATTTATTGATGTATGTGGTTTTACTCAGGACAGCTGTGCATTAAAGCTGTGGACATTGACTTATACTGATGCCTTTTTTTCCCCTCTGACTGCACCGCATCCTCTTGTCTGCCAGTCACAACCACAGACAGGGTTGTGAGCCAAAAGTGAGCCACACAAAGCTCTCTCTGACCCAGGGAGGGCTGTTCATAAAGAGAAATCCTGGGTGAGAGCCCAAAGAGGCTCTGCTGGCCCAGGTCCTGGGGTGACCTGCCTCAAACCCCCATGTTCCTCCCCAGCTCTGAGTCTCCAAAGGCCTCAAAGGTAACTTGGAGACTCCTCTGCTTTCTGAAAGGGCACTGTGGGGGCAGGATGAGAAAAGGA